CTGCATTTTGGCAGGTTGGTGGGCGTTGATGTTGAGACCTCTTGTTCTTGTATCAAAAGGGAGTATTATTTTGAAAAATATTGAAGGGGTAGTCAGTCTTTTTTCAAGTTGGGTCACAAAGGGTCTTTTCCGTGGATCTGTCACCCACAGGAGATCACACTCAACTCGTCCCTAGGTGATGAAATTTGTGGGAGAAGTGGCTTGAGAGCACTTAAGGGCACGTTTGCCATGTGGTATAGTTAATAACAAGCTCCAACCCAAAGTCTATTCTCCTGTTTTCTGACTAATTAGGTAATTATCAGCCAAACTTTCATTATGAAGTCCATCTTCAATGAATCAGGTCCAGAAAAACTCTCCCCTGAATCTTTACTTGCACCCCCTCCTCAACATGTCTCGACACAGAGTTGACGCATCTTTTCAGTGATGGCCACCATCTCTATCATTCCTCTCAATTTCTCAGCTGTTAGACAGCCAGTCTTTTGTTCCGCAATGAGATATCACTTTAATTTAGAGGAAGGAGAGGAGGGAGGACAGTGCAGGCTCTGATGTTTTCTCTTGGCATCCATTGTGTCTTGGGAGCTCATAAAAATGAGACTGCTGTGCACTGGCAGCCTCAGCAGAAGAATCACCCCCTCTACCCTCACCCCGCCATCACCACCTCCACCCACACTCACACACTCTCTCATAGCTTTGTGTGCTTCTTTATTGGCTTAATAATAGAGGACTAAGGGCATGGTGGAAACAGTTTTGTCTCAGTGAGAGCCGGAGCCAAAAATCAAACATGAACGCGTTGGCTGGAGCTTCTCTGGAGGACTTGGTGGAACAAAACAGCATGGTGATATAATTAACAACTGCCTCCTGTGAGACGAGGCTATGTGTGCTTTTGTGTGTCATAATGGAGGCGGCTAATGTAAATCTGTGATCTTTGCACAATTACAGCATTGTGCATGTTGCCAGTTGCCACCCTGCACTTGCATGTGTACTCTGTATATACAATATGTGGACTTAGCATCACATAAACCATAAGCTGGTTAAAGTTTGGCTCAGTTTCCATCTTATTGTGTTTCCACGAGGACTGAGTTTTACTCATGAATGCGATTTTATTGACATTTTTAAAGATTCATGGTACGAGCCAAACTCGGGCATATAATTTTCCCTTATAACTGTAAGTTCTCTTCCAACTCTGCAGAGTTTCAGTGTCTGCTATTTAAGAGGCAACACCATGCAGATCCACCAGGCTGAGATCATGCTGGCTTCCAACCAAATGAACAAGGAGAACCAGCCAATGAAGATGATCTAATGTGCAAAATCTGTGCAGGAAGGTCCCTGTTGGAATTGTAAACACATAAAGTTCAGCAAATTTCTGTCCATTAATATCCATCTGTTGAAATGACTCTTTCCCTCCCTGGACCAGGTCTCCAGGTGAAACAGGGCAGCTCGGGCAGGTACAGGTGTCTTAGACCTTTGTGCGACTTTATACCAAGCAGCTGCAGTTCCCTAAGTGTCCACATGAGGCGGTCTTTAGAAGCACCAGAACCACATACACTTATTCAGACAAAAAAGAAAACTTAGAGAGCGAAATAAACATGTTTACAACGTAAGGGTTTTGGTTGGATGTGGTCATTTCTCTCCCAATATATAACTTTTTTTTTTCTTTTAGATATTAATGTTATGTGTTTGGCACATAGACTGTATATAGAATGGACGCCGTCTGCCTCCTCACTGGGTAAAGCCACCGCAAGAACATCACCCTCTAGTGACAGGCTGCAGTAAAGGTCATAAATATAGGTCACAAAGGTCATGAATCCCGCCTCTTCCAGCCATCCCCTATGGAGCTGTGGACAAACTTTGGAAATCAATCACAGAATGTAAATTTTTCTCCCAGCTGTTTGCGATGTTAAATTGTAGTTACTTTAAGACTGGTTTGTGCTTAAGTCCTCTTCTTTCTGTGTGGCTCTATTTTTAAAAGTTATTAGGCGGTTCATGTTTTCTTTCATTGACACTTGATACAACTAATATAGCGTAGCTCACCAGGGGAATACGCTGTTTGAGCCCAGCATCATCACAGCGACTCTCAGCAACTCTCTGTGACTCTCAGCGAAGACAGCACTTCCAATATGGCGACCTCTACCACAGAGCTTCAAAACTGGAGCATTTCATTTACTTTTCTGGATGCATCCTGGATAGATGTCTGTTAAAAGCTTGATAGTTTTTCCTTTGAGTGTTTTCCGAAGGTAGTTCGTTTTTCATATCTTGTCTTGCTTGCATTTGCATTGAAATCTTTCTTGTTAAATAAAGTTTTGCTGGTTTTCCACAGAAAAAAAAAGTTATATCATTTGGAGCTATTAAGTCTTTGAAACCAAAACTCATGATTTGTGGCAGTAGAGGCATCATCTGCCCGATCTGCGGACACCATACACATTTATAAGTGAAAGCAGGTGTGGTCCCTCTTATCCATTTCTTAAAACAAAGTGCAATCAGTGCTTAAGTTCAGAGATGTCTTGTGCTGAGTCCAAATCAAGTAACAAGTCCTGTAAGTCAGAAAACAAGTCTGACTCAATTTAAAGTTCTGGATTTGAGTACTTTATCTAGTCCTTAAGCACATCCTGCTTTAAAAAGTCTATGAAAACCTGGAACGATAATAAACATCATGCTTTATAGAAGACGAGCAGTCACAAGGGTTTGAGACTGACATCTTTGGAAAAATATATATTAACATACCAATGGAGAACTAAAGTAGACTCCTGTGCAATCAAATCTCTTTGTTACAACCTGCAGAGTCACCTCCTGCTCATCATCAGTCTTTCTCTTCAGACTGGAGGCTTTCTCCCTGTCTGCTAGCCTTTTTGTCATCCTGATTTTGAAGCGCAAACCAGATTTGAAACAGTACTCTTCTCTAATCTTATAATGAACTCTGTCAGTGACATACACTCATCTGAGTCTCGGCACGCAGACACGTCCAAAATCTAACCTCTAACTAACATCTGAAGGACAGCACAAACACTTCAGCCCAAAAAACCACATTAAGGACAAACTCTGGCTATCTCCCTCCTAACAGCTCAGAGGGAAGCTGAAGGTAACAAATCAAACAAGGAAGTCGAAGCCCCAAAACATTTAAATGGAAGTGAGGCACGCTCTGACAATGGCTCTGGCCTTATCTCCCCTCAAACACCTGCCATGTCGGCTGCTACTTATCCTCTGATTACAGCTGTAGCCATTTTGCTGTAATTCGCCAAAAAAATTATTCCTGAAATAAATAAGTATTATAACGCAAGAGAAGGGAAGGGGGAGGGTGTGGGAGGGGGCACATTTAGTGAAATATTCAAGTGAAATATTCTCTGGGAACATGGTGTTCTGAGATTGGAATAAATAAGTAGACAAGGAGCAGAGAAGAGAAAAAGGGAAAAGTCAAAAGGAGGTTTGACGTGATGTCTCGTCTAGAGTCTCGCTGCTTCTGTTGCTCTGTTGATCTCTGCTGCTCATACAGCTCTCAAACAAGGTCATATTATACAGCGCAGCGTGCAATAAATGACAACTTTTTATGCATTCACATTATACATCACAGAGTTATCGGCAGTGACCCTCGGTTCAGCAGCAGAGATGTGAAATGCAGAGGAAAATGAAGAGAAAACTCTGCTGCCACATAAAAAATGAAGAAGACTTTTCCTTTTCTATTTCTGTTTCTGTAAGAGTGATCAAACCTCTGCTTCTTCTGGCTGCAGAAATACGGCATAGCATTCGTGTAATATAGTTTAACACAGGGAATGTATTTAACTGGACAACTGTTGCTGAGCAGAAAGTCAGCAGACTGTTACTTCTTTCACAGTTTCTTTTTAGCCCTATATCAGTGTTTGATAAACGTGTCTCCACTCCTTAGTGTAGCTGATCAGCTCTGTTGTTGTAATAGGATTTTTACATCGGACTGTTAAAGCATGTCATCATCTTCCTCATATCCACACAGTCAGACGAACACTTGAACCCTGACAGGTTTAATCCAAACTACATTCAGCCAGAGTGGGAGGGGTTTTGTTTGGAAGGGGATCATCTTATTGCCTATTTTCATGAACCTGTGCGAGATTTTTGCTATGTTGTGTTTGAGTTTTTGTGGCATTTTTTTAAAACCCTCAAGTGTGAAGAATGTGCTCTCAAGTTCATACTCAAAACTGGATACTCACAAAAGCTTTTGCAGCCATATGCAATTAAGTATTGACAAAGATGGAGGAAGAATTGGTAACAATCCTCAATGGAGTTGCTCCCACATACAAGGGTATCTGTTTATGCATAATGTTATTATTTGTGGTTTGAAACTGGCCTTGACATCCGTGCAAGCTCAAGGAGATGTAAGGAAAACTCCTAACATATACTACACTACAGAAAAGTCTGATGACCATCCTCAGAACCATGAAAAATCTGGACTTTGCTGTGGGAGATCATAGAACACACTGATTTAAGGTTCGTGGCCTGTTAGACCATCTACTGTGTGTGTAAGTTGTGTCTGAAGTTTGAGTATCAAGTCCTTGTGTTAAAAGTAGTTATGTTGTGACCTAAGTTTTCCTTTTGTTTGGTTGCACCATGAGGATGTCAGGTTCATTTTAAGTAGCAGAATATAATGACCACATTAACCAAAATACTGCTGCATATATGATGTCACTTCCAGTAGCCAATCAGAGGTAGGGTGACCATACCTCCTCTTTCTCACAGACATGTTGTATTTTGGGGGGCTGTCCGGCCTGTCCGGGGGGAGTTTATAAAATCCTTCAAATGTCCGGGGAATGTCTGGAAGTTTTAAGTTTGTGTAGCGTGGACTTACTGAGTTAGAAGCGCATAGAAAAACACTCCCCGAAAAACCATCAAAATTTTGCATTGGACTCCACCCCGTGTAGAAGTGTCCTCATTTTGAGGATTCAAAATAAGGTCACCCCAATCAGAGGGCATTATTTATCCATTTGAAGTGATGGTTTAAAGGCTAACTCTCATGGCTGAGTGCCTAGCTAAAACATAATTTCTAATTTTTGGATGGGGTCCATGGGTTTAGAGTCTAAACCCATGGACCCCATCCAAAAATTAGAAATTATGTTTTAGCTAGGCTCAATTTAAACTTAACCAAAGCTAGTTTACACGTAGATGGGTATTTTAGAAAAAGTAGCTTTATATTTGTTTTTTGGCTCTCTGTACGCATAGTTACAGAGCTGAGTCACCAGAAACTGAGTTTTTCCAAAGCGTCACATATATCAAACTCAATAGGTAAAAATACTTGTCTATGTATGTTCTCGACCAAAGCCCTCTTGCAAATTATCCACCATTGCCTCTTGTTGTCTGAAGCATCTGATCAGTTACTTGTACAATCCATGCAGTCATGTTTTGGCTTGCAGCACAAGTTACATAAAAATGTTTGAATTTAAGTCGGTACGCAGTCTGTCGAGATATACAGTTGGCAGGATATTGGCATGTTCATCAGCCCACCATGTTCGCACGGCTACCAAACCCAAAGTCCAGCCAGTACTTGGTTCATGGGAGGACACGGGAAGATGGTGTTCTGAGTGAGAGCCCAATTCAGGCAATGTGTAATGGTCTCATGTTTTTCCTATTGACGTACAGCACTCAGGCACACGGCCAACTGGCTGAGCGCACTGACTACGGAAGTTATTAGAGCCACTTTTTCATCAAATGAAAGGACAAGCTGAATATGCAGTCGAGCTTTCATCCATTTGAATGTATGGATTCATGAAAATGATGGAGATCAAGGCGAGCGTGGAGGTTAAAGAAGAGATTGTGGGATTAATTCAGACAGAAATGGCGAGCACTTTATTTTAGGGCCGTGGTTCTGATGTTTTAAACTGTCCTTTGAATGAGTCATTCAGTGAAAATATATGCAGCAGAGTTCAAGTTAACACTATGAGGGATTCATTATTTAGTGTTAATGCATGTCTCTTTTTTTGGCACCATTAAAGGCGGAAATATAAGACGGAGAGGAAGTGGATGTGCCAAAATGAGGAAAGCGATGATGGTGAACGCTTCCATACAGACAGGTATGACACAGTGTTAATGAAACATGCTGCAAAGTGACTGTGAAAGTAACACAAATTAAATCAGGCGTTTCAATTTTAATCGTCTGACTCCCATCAGATCGGAGTGAACTACAGTCATTTCACTTCCTCTTTCTTGTCCATGTGTCACTCATTGTTCCTGTGTTTTCTTCCCTCCTGTCACTCTTTTTCTCCCCCGTTTAGATACCCCTACTCTCTCCCCCTCCACCCAGCAACACTACAACTGACTCAGTGTCAGGTAAGAGACCGAGAGGCCCTAAAAAGCTGTCAAACAGAAAGCAATGCTGCTCTCTTCTGGCCATAATAATGAAGTTGTTCCCATATGACCACCTGCAGATGGAGGTTGCATTTCTTCTTTTATGCAGTCTCAGGAAGTGAACCTCAAGTTCTCTCATTAAAATAACAATAAATAATTTATTTCTTGCACATAGGTTCATGGGTAAATCTGCCAGCAGTGGCTTTTGGCTTTATAATTGCACACTGGATGTGTTCACTGTCGGCTCCCTCAGTGCCTGAGCTTGATTTACACATCCTGGTTTCCTCAGCCTCGGGCTAAATGCCGTATCAAGGTAGACAGCTCATCAGGATGAGTGACAAGTGCTGCAGTAGAGACTTGACCAGCTGAGGAGGGGGATCCTGTACTGCTCTGAGATCCTGTAGACACATATTAGAGCCTCAGTCTACCTTTGCATTGGGTCAAGTTTAAACATCTATTATAGTGTGTTTTTGTCTTTAGGAGCAATGTTTGAAATCAACTCACACAGCCGTCATGGTGCTTTCAGAGTGGATGGAGGGACACCTGAGGTCATGCAATCGTGCAAGGAAGTGTCTTTTGTTTCATTTCTAGGCATTCCCTACCAGTATACGACATACTTGAGAAACTGCTTTTCTACTCAGCTAGGATTTAACATCCACATAAACTAATAAGAAATATGATTTATGACATTTGTCAAATCAAAAACACTGAATTATTCTCACTTTTGTCTCATCAAATATAGAGAATAATGACTCGGGCTCTATTGTGTGTTTCAAAAGAGGAAAGATGTCGACATATTTGAGATGACAGTGTCTGAAGCATCAGACTCCTGTGTGGGCAGCGGTTGACTGACAATCAGACCCAGTGTTGCTAGGAGACATGTTGTCAACTTCCATGGTGTGATACTGACTGAAGGATGTCATAGTCTGGTTAAGCCTTGACATGCTGACAAAACCATTTTTTTGGCACTTGAAGCAATTTCAGCGAGTCTTTGATACTCCTGCGAGGACCTGTTGTGTTTTTTGGTTGGAACTATTCTCATGAGGCGTCAGGTTGTTGCAAACACAAGCACTGACCCCCACTTAGAGTCATTTTAGCTGACATTATCAGAACATGTGTGAGTTGTGCTCATGTTCTCTGGCTTCCTTAGCTGCATTCAGTACATAATGCTCAATTTAGACGGTTTTCTTACTTATGTTCTAGGTTGGTCAGAACTTAAATTTCCATTTGAATGACCAGAAAAATAATCCCTTTGGACATCTCTCAAGGGCACACATTGGGTCAGAAGTCTATGCTATTCAAAAGGGGTTATAATAGGATGAAGTATAAGCAACAGATTAAACTTTTTTTCTCCAGACTTACATGTTTGTTGTTGACAACTGTTATAATTTCCCTTGGTGAATAGTAGAAGATGCAACCTTGAAAGGTTGGGTCAATCCTCCTGTTCCACGCTCAACCACAGAGGTTGATTTAACATACTATCCATGAACTGCACAACTGCATGAATTATGCACACAGTGCTCTACATGGTACTGCTGTGTTTGTGTCTGGTAATACAAAGTAGAGGGTGTGTCTGGTGTTTAGTCTCCATCTTCTTAGCCTCAAGTTGGTTGGAATGAATCTCAACTTTCAAAATTCCTAACTTCATAACTTTGCTTCTCTAAATTAACCTTTTCTTTCCTAACATCATTGATGTGACTGAATCAAATTTCTGCTGCATTGCCCCTTTATCTTGCATTGATATGACTATATAAAGAGCCAGAGTTTGTTCAGTGAACATATTTTTTGTGAGAAGCAGATCTTTGAGATGAATCTGAGTTTTGACTTTTGACTTGATCTCAATTTGGCCAAAGCTTTAGTCTAATCCAAATCTTGATCTGCCTTAGTCTTGGTTTCTGTGGCTCTTTCAACCCTAAGCTTTACAAATGACAGTCATGAAGAAATGAGTCTATCTTCAAAAGAACACAAAGTGTATATTTATGGATTTCTACCAAAAAAAGAGTCAATATTAATAATTTCAGTGTGACTTTAATAGTAGCTCGTGCCTGAATGTGCTGCAATGAGCTCTCCACTATGAGCTACTTTTATCCCATGTTGTTTGGCAGCCTCTGATTCTTGGCTTATAAGCACAAGCTACCACACTGATGCTTTGTGGCAGAGAAAGGCTTCCTGCTATTGGAGAGACCTGCGGAGACAGATGGGAGATTTACAAATGCTGGAAGAAGCAGGGAAAGGAGCTGGCAGCGAGACACCTCCGAGAGATTTCCATCGACTACAGGCTCCTTGTCTTCATCAAGGTTGGCGCTTTGGTGGCACTGAATGTGGGCCAAAGTGGGCTGAAAAAGACAATGTCACAACATCTGCTTTGACTTTGAGCCGAGAGGCAAAGACATCAACTTTATCTGTATCTATCGCAATCAAACGCCAGTTATCGAAGCTAGTAATTTAGCAAAATATTCATATACAGCCATTCATATATAGAGGCACCGCTTTTATTTATCAAACTGTTTGGGAAATTGAAAAGAAATTAATGAATATTTATTTCCTGCCATCATTTCTCTCTTCAGTCATTTCCTCAGTCTGTTTCCGAAATGAGCCAATCGCATCAAGTTTCATTGCATTGGTGCGGGTGTGTGTGAAGAGGTAGAAGGCAGTAATTCTGCAACTGAATAGCTTCCTAATCACACATTACTAATCTGGCCTCGCTCTCTTGTCCCCCGCAAAAGCCCCTCATGCTCACAAGGCTTCCTTTTCTGTTTGCTAACGCGTCTCGTGGATATTAACTCAGACCATCGCTCCGGTCACAATGAGGAAGCGGATCCCAACTCAAATCTCATAACCTGACATGGTCACTCGCCATTGATTTCTTTCATAAAGCACGTTCATGTCTTTCTTTTCCTGCTCCCGCTCTTCCTCTCAGAGCCTCGACCCCGCTGTGCTCCCATCACCCGCAAACTGCACCCGCCCCACCCACACCCATAAAGAGTAATTACTCCCCCTTTTATTTTCTCCTGCGTGGCTCCGTATCGAGCTACTCATCTCTGACAGCGGTGCAGCTCAAATTAAATTCCCTCATCTGATAATGAAAGTCATTAGGTCCTGCTGGAGCCTGGTGGAAGGCCAAACAAAGCCTGGTGGAGGTCCTCGAAACAACTCCGCCAGAGGACAACACAGCTGAGCAGAGAGGAAGGGGGGTGGACACGAACTTTGTGCAAGCACAGCTGATCCCTTTTTACTCTTACTTATAAGTACCATGAGAATGCAGAGACTGCAAAGATGTGAGTAAATATGAATAAAATTAATGCAAAAGAGGTGAAAACTATCACCGTATTTGCAATAACAAATTTTTCAGATCCTCATAAATGCTGTCAATCATGTTTCTGCAAGGACTGACAAACAAGATCTATTCAAAACAAGACAACTTGAAAAAAAATTAAGTTAAATAGGCAAAGCAACACATCGGTAATGTGTCCCCATGCAAATATGTTTTCCCCAAGCAACCTCTGACAGCAACCATAGTGACACATGGTGACGCAAAAGTTCATATTTCTAACTGTGATGAGCTGCTCAAAATGAATTAAGTATTTAAGTGCTTCAGGCCACCTGATTACGACCCCACAGAGGGCGCTCTCAACATAACCCATGCTCCTGTGACCTCAGTAAACTAATACAGTGATGTTTCTCCGCTAAAATGGAGGACACGGTCAAACAAAGCCGCACTGAGCGCAGTGAGGAATAATAATAATTTAGGATTTTTCTCTGTAGATGGAA